CCCCCCCCCCCACACACACACACAGGCCAGGCCACCAGGTTCCTCCGTACGCGCACCCTCATAAAGTGCACATCTGATCAGGTCCTCCCCTGCCCGGGATCATCCGTGGCTCCCCAGTGCTTCTGACCTACCGCCCAAAACGCCTGCCTCTGCAGCCCTGTGGCCTCATGTGCCTGGTGCCCGCCTCCCTCCCAGCTTCCCTGAGTCCCTGGACTCCAGGCCTCTTGCCCACCTCAGGGCCTTGGCACATGCTGTCTCCACTCCCAGAACGTGCCTCTTGTCTTTCTACCGGCAACGCCTACCCATCTGGGTCTCCACTTGGAGTCACAAGGACATCCCCTCCTCCGTGACAAGCCTGAGGGTAGCCAGCACGTCATCCTCGTGGGCCACATCTACACCTCCCGGCACACAGTGGTGCTCAAACATTTGCCTAGGGAGCAGAAACACCCATTTCCCCATCCTTGGGAAACCGGGGCCGTGTCTAGCCAAGAGAGAAAGTGGGTCAAGGAATCTGGTCCGGGGGTCAGAAGGGGCCCTGAGGGTCAGCTGGGCCACGCCACCCCCGCTCCTCAGGCGGCCCCCCAACAGCCACTGAGGCTGACCGCTGGGCCCACTCACCGATGCGGTCCAGGCGGTCGATGGCGACCGTCTCGAAGGCCCGCCGCATCATGGGGTACTCCTCCAGCACCTCGTTGAAGTTGTCCACGCTCAGCGAGTAGAGGCGGCAGTAGGTGTCAGCCCGCACGCTCGCCGTGCGCCGGCCCCGCGTCAGCAGGCAGATCTCTGTGTTGCAGCCAGGGGCAGCGTCCTCACTGCTGGGCCACACCCAGCGGCCCGAGCCAGCTGTCCCCAGGGCCCGCCCCAGGACCTTCCTGCCCCTGGGTTCCCCAGCCCGACCTCCATCTGCCGCCAGCGGCCCTGCCCACAGACGCTCACCCCCGAAGTAGGAGCCGTCGGACAGCTTCATCTCCTTGCTGCCCTTGGTGAGCACACTGAGCACCCCGTGCTGGATAAAGTACATCTTCTTGCCGACGGTGCCCTCTCGGATGATGCAGTCGCCCGGCTGGAAGACCTCGAACTTCAGCTTGGTCAGCATGGCCGTGACGAAGTTGGGGTCGGCGTTGGCGAACAGCGGCATCGAGGCCACCAGCTTCCGGCAGTTGAAGTTGACGATCTCCTGTAGGGGTGGGAGGCGGGGCTGACGGCAGGGCGCACGCCCGCCCCTCCACCGCACCCTACCTTTGGGACTGTTGCACCTCTCAGACCTTTGGTTTGTGAGGGGCATTTAACACGTTAGCCTGAAAGCCAGCATCTTAATAGGCAAATGCTGGAGGTTTTGCCACCAAAGACAGGATCAAGAAAAGATTCCCAAGATCCTCTACTGCTGAACTCTGTGTCGGCAATACTGGCCGACGCGGGTTAGACACGGAAGAGCATTCAGAGACGTGAGAATTGGAAAGGAGAAAGGAAAACTCTCTCTTTACTATCTGTGTTAATGGGATTGCCTGAAAAACCCAAAAGAGTCAGTGGAAAACTGTAACAAGGGAAATTTGTCAAAATACCAAGCGATTAAAAAAACCAACATGAAAACCAAGAGCCTTAAAATGAATCCACGGGGGTAGAAGTCAGGATGACGGTTATCCTTGGCAAAGCAGCTTCTGCGGGATGGAAATGCTCCATATTTGATCTGGGTGGGGCTCACGTGGGGATTTCACTTGATGGAACATCCATCGGGTGTGCCCTAATGACGGGGCACTTTGCTTACCTTACAAAGAAAATCGGGCTTCCCTGATGGCGCAGTGGTTAAGAGTCCGCTTGCCAATGCAGGGGACACGGGTTCGTGCCCCGGTCCGGGAGGATCCCACATGCCGCGGAGCAGCTAAGCCCGTGCGCCACAAGTACTGAGCCTGTGCTCTAGAGCCCGTGAGCCACAACTCCTGAGCCCGCATGCCACAACTACTGAAGCCTGCGCACCCTAGAGCCCATGCCCCACAACAAGAGAAGCCACCGCAATGAGAAGCCTGTGCACTGCAGAGTAGACCCCGCTTGCCTCAACTAGAGAAAGTCCGCGTGCAGCAACAAAGAACCAACACAGCCAAAAATAAATAATTAAAAAAAAAATCCACAGCTCTTGTACAGGCAAACGAAAGCCACTCCGAAGAAGACGTGATGGATGAGAAGACCCCATTTCCACCCGCATAAAGAGCTAAGTAAGATGGCATGGCACGAGTTTACCGGAACATGACCAAATCCATGTATGAGGAAACGTTGAAAACCCTCCCAGAGGCACAGAAGAGCCATGAACACACCGTGCCCTTAGAGAGCACTGCTCACCATCTTCGAGATGGAAGACACCCATTCTCCCCGGGCAGGGATATAGGACACAGAGCCCTGTGGAAATGCCGCCCGGCTCACTTCTCGATAACCGGGGCTAGTCAAGTGCATTTAGAACAAATGAGCAGAAGTAGCAGGAAGCCCGTGACAAAGACGAGCAGGGAGGGGGAACTCGCCCTCTAAGGCACCGAAGCACATCGCAGACCTCTGCGATGCAGAGTGGGTTTGGCACACACAGAGCAGACAGGCCGGTGGGACAGATGAAAAGTCCAGAAACAGAGCCAAGCAGGAGGGAACTTCAGCTGAAGGTGCCCCTCCCCCGCCAAGTCTCGGGGCAGAGCCAGATGGTTCAGCCCCACACAGCAGATAAGACTGGATCCCTTCCTCACGCCAGATTCCACGATAAATTCCAAAGGCATAGGGGGTCTACATGCCAATAGTGAAACTCCACAAGTATCAGAAGAAAACGTGGGCAAATCCCTCTAAAGCCTGGGTATGTAGAGCAAGCAGGTATTGTGCGTCTGCTGTATACAGCGAGCATGTATTGTGTGCCTGATGTCCGCAGAGAGTAGATACT